CGAGGTGGTAAACATGAGGTATGCATCACACTAGACTTTCCTCGCACATTTAGCTGACAAGCCGTAATATACCTTGAATGCTGTTTTTGGCGTTATACCTCACTCACTCTTTTCTGAATACGCGGGGGCGGTGGGGTAGTCTAGTGAATATGCGGCTAAATGTCAGAGATCTGGTGCCTAGCCCCAACAAAGTCAGAGATCTGGTGCCTACCCAACAAAGCAGCATTAGGTCTACGACTGTCAAAGTCAATGTTTATTATGGGAATCGCGGGTCGTTTCTTCCCTGTGTGGAACGTTCCTGGATTTGGAAAACGTCGGCTGGGATGAAAGTATTTGGTCTCTAGCATCAAACAGAATCGCAATTACACCATGTTGTTTGAAAGTATCGGCGTGGGGGGAGTGAGCCTTTGATAATCACATGACGCAGAGCAATTACGTAACCCCGGTCGTCACCAATTTCCCCCGATTTCTTTGTGATTTTAGCAGTAGAATACTTAGAAGTTAAATAAGCTAAAATTAATCGCCAGACAATTCAATCGCATTAACGTATCCCAATTAAACAAGCCGGATTAACGTACATTGTGTTGCTAGTAAATACGTCTTAAATATACATGCATGTATAGTGCTCCTTAAGTCAATTAAAGCCAGTCTATGTTACATAGTCTGGTGCGTTTTCTCGATGATAGTATTAACAAATGGATTTAAATAATAAACTGTCAGATTTTCATTGTTTGATTCACAAAGTGCCGACTTCCAGCTGACTAGATTTCAACCAGGTGGCTTGAGTAAGTCTCATCAAAACTGTTTTTCCACCATGGCTGTCTTACACAGGATAACAGACTGTGATGTGCTGAAAATATTTTGGGGGAGTTGAATAAGTCACAGAAAGGAACCCTGACCATCCCTGAGAATAGTTTCAGTTTCAGAAATTGAAAAAATCTTCACTTGCCAAATTATAGCCGATTCCATCAAACTTGATTTTGACATGGTTTTGGTTTCAGGGATGTACGAGTGATTAACAAGACACGCATCTCATGTATTCTGATCTAAGCATAGAAGAGGGGGCCATTCTTGGGAAGCCTTTCTTGTGAAGTCTTTCTTGTGAAGTTAAGTGAAGTTTATAATGTTACAGCCGTTTGAACATCAGAACAGACAAAACAAAGCCGTCTTCACGTGCACTAGGAATGCTCCGACTGCCCTTCACATAAGCACATCTACAAAGCCTGCAGTGACTCGTACTGTTATGTTCAGATAACCCTACTTGTGTCTCTCGAACGTCTCTTGCTGCACATGACAAAGGTCACGGGAAGGTTTTCTCCCAAATGTTGTTTATCTTCAAAACACTTGCCTGGGGCCAAACTGCATGTGTTGTAGCTACAAGAACCAATTGTCTCTCTATACAGCTCGACATGGCCAGATAAACCGTTATTTAGATGGCACGCTAATTGTTCCTGTTGTGACTTCTACAAATATTAGATAACCAGTTGTATACGCACGTAATTAATGAACTAATTGTGTCGTGGACGGGGTAAATATTTACTGAGCGGTTTATAATTGGCAGATGCCTGAGAAATGGGATACACTTTATCAAAGGTTTACTAGTATATCAGACAATGGAACAGGGGAATATGGTCAAAGGGGGTCTGAACCACCTTTTGACATCAGGAATTGTTTTAAAGTTAATTACGCAAATGACTATGTAATCAGACCTAAGCCATGACAGCATTATGTTTCAGACAAGTCTCTAATGGGCATTTCATAAACTGGGTTAACATGAACACCCTGATATTGTTTAGTTTGTTGTTTAACGCAGCGCTCAGCAATATATGACAGTCTGTAAACAATCGAGTCTGGGCCAAACTATCCAGCGCTCAACAGTATGAGTGAGTTTAGTTTTACGCCGCTTTTAGCAATATTCCAGCAATATCACGGCGGGGAACACCAGAAATTGGCTTCACACATTGTACCCATGTGGGGAATCGAATCCGGGTCTTCGGCGTGACGAGCGAACGCTTTAACCACTAGACTACTCCACCGCTCCTGAACGTAAACAAATCGAGTAAGTGTATGCTTGTTTCCCTCGGAACACGTCCCAGTGCCTAGATACTGATTCCAAGAAAAGGCAGATCACGAAAATTTAATATCAGGAAAATGTAATTTGGAAATATTGTCCCGTGTACACCATTTGTATGGAATCACTCAGGCAATGCACGTTTCATTCTGTTGAACATACACATCATTTACATGGGTACGTATGTTTACATGTAATGTACATCACCTGTATTTGTGCTATAAGTAAGCGATTAATTGAGTCAATTCCATTTCACGGTGTCAATTAAATATGTATATATCACCAACAAAGTGTTTTTCAGTCATGACACACGTTTCTAACAGAACTAACACACCCTTTATCTCACAAATGGGTCTAATGGGTGAACGTGATTAAAACATACATTAAAACACATTTTTATCCCAAAATGATCCCAATCCCTATAAACATATTATCCAGAAGAAACATATTCTTTGCCCAAACCAGCATACCGTCATGATAGGACCCATGGAGTAGTAAAACAAAACATAGTGAGTGGGTTTGCTTTTACGCCGCTTTTAGCAATATTCCAGCAATATCACGGCGGAGGACACCAGAAATGGGCTTCACACATTGTACCCATGTGGGGAATCAAACTCGGCTCTTCGGCGTGACGAGCGAACGCTTTACCCACTAGGCTACCCCACCGCCCCAAAACAAATCATAATCATGTCATCATATGCATACGGATGACCACTACAGCGTTGACCTCTTTGAAAGGTACTGTTGATTTACAATTTAAGAAAATTCGTCATAGGTCACCTTACAGTGAGTTAATTATTAAATAAATAGATATGTTAGAGGCACATTAGACTAACATCTAGTCTCTGAAATAATCATATTTTTGAGAAATACACGATTTCTAAATTGTGGTCATAAAATATAATAAACCTGAGCCCTGATAGTTTGTTCATTTTCAATCTAGATCTGCATGGGCCGCTTTGGGTTTGTTTGTTTCTGGGTCTGTATGGTATGCTACAGTCTTTTGCATAGGCATCTGGAAATATGTTAAGCACCACTGTTTAGCTATATTCAGTGTGTTTCGAACTCATGTTTCTATTCAAAACATCTAGACTTGCCATGATTTTGATGAATACTCAAGCTTGTACCGATACCTTCTAGCATCTTGCCACATGTGTACTGTTGTTTTACTACAGATTGTCCGAATGGGTCATACCATGTAATACACAGGCGTAGAGGGAACAATTAAAAGCGTTGTCAACTTTTGACAAATGACCGTTTTAACAGAAACATGTGTTATCAGCACTGTTTAACTGCAGGGTATATGTAAACGATTTTGTACATAAATTACCACTGTTAATTGTAAACACAACATTACTGTTTTCTTGGGTATTTAAGCACATACATTAACACCCGGATTAGAAATGAATGGATTGGCATTAATTAAAACGGATCACAAGAATATTGAAATCGTGCCAAAAATGTCATGAAACTTTGTCGAGAAAAACAGCTGATGTACCTCCCAAATATACAGTAAACACTCTATTTGGGCACAGGTTAATATAAACAAAAATGGTCTGTAAACAACTAGCTCACAATTACTTTTCAGTTACGTTCGAAAGCCACCTGAAGTGTCATTGCTTATATAAAACGTGTCAAATTTAAGGTCAAACGGGTGCTATTGTACTCTCACTGAGATCCCTTGTCGGGTAGACGCGACCTCCAGTGACCTATTACGTAATCCTGCACATTCCAGTAAATGGGTGTACCCTTAGAGGTGTGTTGTAAGGTATTTGGATTACATTACACGGCCTTGGGGTATACAAGCTGAGGGTTTGGGGCCTTGGGCTGCGTATTGGGTTGTGGTATACATGCTTCAGTTACGACCAGTCGTGAGAAACGTAATGTCTTTACAACGTGAACAGAATTAAAACCGGTTTAAATTAACAACGGTCATTTGATTGCGGGCAAGGCAACCTACAATCGCTTTTTTACTGCTGTCGGAGGTTTTACCTTGGGAAAAAATAGCATTCTATGACCTTAAAGAGGAACATTTTTTATGGACAGACAATTTCTATATTGAAATAGATGCAACGTTTCGGTGTAGAGGCTAACATCGTTATTATCACGTGTTTGATAACGATGTTAGCATCTACACCGAAGCGCATCCATTACAATAAAGCTGTCAGAGTGTCTATCCATAACAATTATTCCTCTTCATCATACCAGCATCTAAATGCTACTTAAAGAAGTTCTATGACCTAAGGTAAACACTGATACAACGTGTTATATCAGAGGAATACAGTTTACTGAGATCGATGAAAGAGAATCGATTAGTATACGTACATATTACGTACAGTTCAAAATGGCAGGATGGCTTCTGACTGTACAAATATTGCAGCTAGGCGAAATGCTTCAAGTAAGTTTATTTATACATAGACCCACATACGAAAGCAGCGTACTTGTATTTGAATAGGTTCGATCGATATCTGGACAAATACATTAAGAAATCGATCCTTGTTACTTGCAATCATAGCACGTCACATCCGCATTGGGACCGCTATAGCTTAGCTGTTACTTATACCACCATCCAATTTAGTTTGCAACAGCCCTGCTTTGTCTACGTGGTCACCGATGAATCTTTTGAAAACGGTTTGACTGTAATCCCCGGTAGATTAAAGAGATCGACTTATAGCTTACTCCCGAGAGCGATTTATTACCAAACCCATCGTAAAGCCTACATAACCCAACACTGTCGTACGGCTTTGAATCAGACTTTCGTGACACAAAGCAATTTCGGTGCTACGTATATCGAACCTTGAATATTTTAACATGGATGGGTTAGCTGAGCTTGAGTGACTATATACGTTATGTGTACTAAACATATCCCTTTTGGTTAAGGAAGATATATTAATTCTTAAGCATGCCAAAATAGAACTATGATATAGCATAGGATTAAATACGTTTATTAAATAATAATATTGCATGCCTTTGAAAATAATTTCAAAGGTAGTTTGAGTCAAAACATTGGAATGTCCGTTTAAAATTAAGATGACGAGTATTAATGCACCATCTTGAATCTAGCATGTTGAACTGAAATGTACGAAAAACACAAATATCACCAGAATATCAGCACACAAGCACGTGACCTGTCAGTTGTTGATTGACAGGGGTGTCAGCAACGTTCCACTGCAACATACACGAATGTAGCTATACAGTGATCTAAACAGTGACCAGCACTGGTCAGTCAGCGAGTGACCACTAGATACAACCCAGAGGTTAATACTTGACACATGGGATTTCTAGAACTATATATTCCTGAATCGTTGTAGTCGGACTGTGCGTGAAAGATTATGATCTCAAACTAACAACATACATTGAACAATGTGAACACAGATGCTGTTATCTAACACGACACATTTGATGTGAGGTAATCACCACGATATTGGTCCCGCATGAGGAATTGACGAAGTCGATGCTGTTGTTGATGTTGCCATCGTCGTTGTCGTCATGACGGAGTGTGGAAGAATAGCACAATACTCGCTAGTGACGCTGACGATCGCCGAACCATGGAAGTGCACGATAAGCAGTTACGTAGTACTAATACTTGTAAATTCTGTCACCTCGCTATTTTCCCCGATTTGCCCTTTTTCCATTTCTTAATCATTTCATACATCGTGTCCATCGCTTCGGGGAGACCCTCCCCGTTACAGCACAGGCAGAAGCCAACTCACACAACTGACTCCGCGAGATGTCGGAGAGGGATAACATCGTCTCTATCTCCGACGGGTCTAACGCTTCGGGTAAATCCTGCTTATTCGCAATAACGAGACAAGGTAGACTGTTAGTGTTTTGAGACTTAACAAACTTGATAAGTTCGATTCTCGCTTCCTCAATCCTCTCTTTATCACTGCTGTCCACAACAAATATAATCCCATCCGCAGAGCGCAAGTACGACTTCCACAACGGCCTCATATTATCCTTTCCACCGACGTCCCAGATCGTGAACGTCACTCCTTTTACTTTGCCATACTTTCCTTCGACCTTTTCGCAGTTGAAACCAACTGTTGGTATAGCGTTCATGTATTGGCCGAATTTCAGGCGATATAAGATTGTAGTTTTTCCAGAAGTGTCCAGTCCCACCATGAGAACTTGCACAGAAGCTCCCCCTCCCATAGCCTTACATTGGGGGACGCCGATTCAGTCAGGTGAATCAAGGTAAGACGGCCTGCGAAGCCAAGCCAACACTGACCGTCGGCATGGCGTGGAGAGAGATTTCCACTAACGTTTCACAGATAAGACAATGACTCCGAGGCGGAAGGAAACAGTCCCACGTACCTGTATGTAGGTGTGTATAATCCACAGGTAGACAATCCCGTATTCATTCACTGAGTGACCGAGTTTCCTTTGGAGTGAATACAATGAATTTGCTTATCGCGGCAGGCTGCGATCTGAAGCTATCCTGAACCCACGGCAGGTGACTTCTGGCGGCTAACTGTGTAGCTGACCTCTTACTCCATACACTGCTAGTCACATGAGATGATATAACTCTGACAGCTCGTGTTCACCGTGAGCCATTGCGGAGCAGTATTTCCGGCCATTCAAACAGTACGACTTCGGATAGTGACACACATCACTCACTGAAATCGACATAGCCTCGATCTCCCAAATATGGAATGACAACAAATGCAGCGCCACCTATCGGCGTTCGGATTAAGGGGAGGTAATCCATACAAATGAAGCGGCAGTAAAATGCCTGTATTTTGGCATATCTTATTTTCGACAATATTTCCCAGCATTTTGTTGTGTTATAAAATGATGAACTGACGCCAAACCAGTCTATCCACGTAGTTTAAGGTAATTATACTTAAAAATATTGTTTCACTTTCTAATGAAACCGTTTCAGCTTGAAGTATTATGTTTTAAGGTGATTAGGAGAATTTGGTTTATGCTTTTTGAATAGTTTGGTTTGATTGTTGTTAAACGCTGCAATATTCCAGCTATATGGTGGCAGTCTGTAAATAATCGAGTCAGGACCACACAATCCAGTGATCAACATCATGAGCATCGATCAAACTATTTGGGATACGATGAAATGTGTCAACCAAGTCAGCGAGCCTGACCACCCGATCCCGTTAGTCGCCTCTTACGACAAGTATGGGTTACTGAAGACCAATTCTAACCCGGATCTTCACGTTGTTTATAGCACTTCAGTTACATTGTTAGTAGGTAAAAATAGTTAAACTGACACAGGTAACATACATGTGTATCTTTAATAAAACTCACAGTTAAGCGTATGTTCCTGAAACACTAAGGATGGCACGAACATCGGATCCTGTCACAAGTCCAAGGCACCGCATCATGGAGCCCTCAACGGAGGCCCGTCCATTTCCTCTCATGTGCTGCAACCTATTTTTTAAATGTATATCATATTTTATTTGAATGATTTTTAAAACACCGTTAATATTTAAAATTGCATTTCGTTTCTGAGTATTTATGCATTTATTGTAGAAAAAACCGTTTTCAGGAAACAGCTGTGGTGTATTAAGTTGTCGATTATCTGAATATATATACTCAGCTCGTGCTTTCCGTCAAACCGTGACCTCAAAAGTGGACAACATTCTAAACTGTTTTATAAAATAGGCCTCATATTAACGACTGGTTGAATTCAATGATGTTTTACACAAGCTTACATATGATCGAAGAATACCACGCGAACGGCCGCCAGAGCGGAACGAAATAAAGTCTGTCAGACCTCCGGTCGATGGTCGGTCGAACGGACGGACGGACGATTGGAACGAAATAAAGTCAAACAGTCAGACACTCCGTATGTCGGGATGGTTTCAGCGCCTCGATATATCACACCAAAACTGGATCGGATAAACTGACTGGACGACGCCGCTTTTAGCAATATTCCAGCAATATCACGGCGGGGACACCAGAAATGGGTTCAACATTGTGCCCATGTGGGGAATCGGATGCCAACGCTTTTATATGATAAAAGTTCCATGAGTAGGTCGGTGAAATCAAACAAAATAACTTATAATTTTTCGGTAACTCACTAAGAACCAATTAAATCAAAACCTTTGTAATTTCTTTTCATGTATTTTGTGTATAAAAGGATCTACAGCTAAAATACAGAGGCCCACTTACCACAGGCAAACACTACAGCACTGCTATCTATTCAATGGTATGTCTCGAATGTTTATGATCACGTGTAATTTAAATTCTATATGTCAACTGTATCATAGGCCTTATGGCCCAAATACTACTGAATAAACTTCTCTCAGTTTTGTGGTATGTCCATCACACATTTTTGTGTGTAGAATCTGTGGCAAAGGTATTAGTTTCAGTATGTTCTGGAACATACGCTATAAAGAAAATCCCCATCCTAACACATCCTCGGTCATTTCTGTGGGGTATGATGCGTCCATTAACTCAGTGGCCAGGTTAGATTGGTTTTACCCTGTGTAGCACTCAACAATATCACAGCTGATAATTTAGAAATTATTTGGTGAATTATTAATTAGAAATTATTTAATCTAATTTAGTTAGAGAAAAAAGCCTAATAATCCTAAGGCATATACTTATTTCGTTTGTGTTGAATCTGAAATCCCAAAGTCTGTCTCACAGTCCCTGAACCACATTATTTTCAGTGCAGAAGTCCTAGATGAAGCAAGTCTAGATTTCCTCTGAATCTCCCATCTCCCCCGGGCTCCTTTTCAATTTAAAGGAATTATTTGTTTCTATCAAAATTATAATATATTCAGAGACTAAGAGTTAGTCTAGAATTCCCTCCACAATGCCCACTACCCGGGGATGATGCCAATATAACAACCTGGTTTCAAATGGGTAAACTAGGTGTGTGTGATGCATACTACTATTGTCAGAAAATCGAGGGATGCACACTCCATTTTCACCTGAGTTTCAATGGTCATTTACTATCAGCACATAGGGGTGCACCTTGCATGGTCATACCCCAGACTCTGGATCCACCTATGCTAGTTTATCGATTTTCTGACCCGCAGTGGGGGCCTATGATTCCAAGAACCATGTTGGCACATCGATGCACAACATTTTTATTTAAATATCCTGGTATGTCCTGCTGTGGCGCGATGTAAAACCATACATGCGAATATCCTGGAGGTTTGTTTGGAGCTACAGGTTCCTACTTTGCCCACCTATGACATGTCGATAACCGCCACGGGACTCTCTTTACACAACGTGCAGCGGACCGAACGATAACTTTTGCAAGGTACGTGTGTTTTCAGTTAAATATTTGGTGACGTGATCCTAGGGTTATTTTGTGCGAGACGCGTTTCACAAAAGCGCACTTCAAGTCGCCGTATTCCTACAGAACACGCAGGTTGTATTTGCATTTAAATGACTCGAGAATGCGGCCATATATACAGTGTAATGTATATCGGAGCGTTGCTAGGTGTTTACCAGGGCGAATAATATAGCCGAACAATAGAAGACTGTTATATACATGTACACGGTATATAAGAGCATATGAATATACGGATACTTTTTTCGCATGCAACATAATCCCTAAACATCACACATAGTGAGTTACCTTTACCTCAGCTCACTGAGCATATTCAGCAAATAAGGTGGCAAACCTGATGTGTATAATATTATACTGACACTTAGATTAACATTTTAACATAATTTATCTCAAAAAGACGTTTTTTCGCAACAAATCTTTTTAATACTTTTTCATTTCATATATAACATGTAATTTGTAAAAGGCAGTTTGGTAGAGAAAGTAGCTATGTTTTTGTTATTTTCAGAAAATTAAAAAGTGTAGGCTTGCCGAAGGTTTGTTGACGTGCTTGGGAATGTCAGGGTGTGTATGAGATACTATTATCCAGCGAGCATATTATGATCCAGAATACGTCAAAGCCCTAGTAACAACGATACCTCACGTGTGTAGGAGAGGGAAAGGTTAAATGCTATTTCTCTTCAATGGTGTTCACACGCAGCCCACGTAAATATATCACTCATTTCTAGGATATATTTTAGATGTTACATATATATCGTATACATCATTCTCATTGTGAATTGTAACTGTCATCGAGTCGCCAGGGGTCTTATGTCTGATCGTTTATTCTTTCTTTGCATTTTAGCATTTGACTGGGATTATATGATAATTATGCCACATATTCTTATTCTTAATTTACGGGTGTGTTTTAATCCAATGGTTTATGCTATGAGACTCGTCAGTTTTATCAGATACAATAGACGACATAACAGCGAGTGCTGAGTCTAGGTTTACACCGCGTTCAGCTATAGTCCAGCAATATCACGACGGGGACCCAGTGAGCCAGAGGAAATCTGAGGAAATCTAGACTTGCTTCATTCAGAGCTTTAGCACTGCAGAAAAGACTAGACAGAAGGGAAAAAATGAGGTTCAGGGAATGTAAGACAGATTAAGGCACTATATAGCTTTAATCCACACCATACAGTACGATTAATCAATACACTATAGCATTACTCCACACAGCATTCTGGTGGCGAAAGTTAGAAAACAATGCAATCAGCAGCCAATATATACATTTATCATCGTTTAATGAAATATATGAATATTTAGCGGAGTAGAGCGGGGAGATGCACGACAGATATACTTTGACAATTTCTCTAAACAGATTATGTTGTCAGGCGATATCAGCCTGATGACTGTAACTTTACATGGGTGCATTATGCAGGTATTTGATTGTACAAACTACGCATTTCCTAATACCTATGGATACAAAACAGGGTCATAATCTTCAATAGCATATACATTTTATAATTTACAGAATTGACGCTATCTAGTTTTTCTTTAAGCTTCATATCTTTATCTTTCGGGCATTATATTACCTAAAGAACACCTGAAACGATGTAATTTAGTTTGGTATTTACACTGTAGATGTATTGACAGATACTGTCTGGATTCAATACGATCCGGTTGGTTCTCATTTCGCCTGCATTTCGCAACATGTAAATCAACACAAGAAACCATATCTGAAAGGTGTGACTGAAGTGTGAGGTGACTTTAACTGAGTAGTTATGAGCGAGTCAGTGAGTGAGTTTTAACGCCGCTGTTAGCCATGTTCCAGCAATATCACGACCGGGAACACCAGAAATGGGGACTAGTGATGATGTGGTGAGGTGAGGTGAGGTGAAATTGGGTTTAACGTCGTGCTTGAGAATATTTCGCTCATATGACGACGTGCATGCGTGTGTATGTGTCTTTAAGCTGGTTTTATAGTGCTAGCTCACTGAGATACCATGCCGCAGTGAAGCATGAATACCCCACTCAGACACATTATACTGACTCCGAGCCGACCAGTCCTTGTTGTACCAATTAATGCCGAGCGCCAAGCAGGGACCAACAAGTACCATATTTTAACGTCTTTTGGTATGACGCGGTCGGGGATCGAACCCGCGACCTTCCGCTCTCCGGGCGGACGCTCTAACCACTACACCACGGGGGCGGTCAGTTATGATGTGGACATTGCTTAAGTTGACTGCGTATGTCAGCATATAGGGTGTATGTCATGATAGTAGTTGAAAACTCTACCAAACTCAAATAAGGTAATAAATTAAAAGGCCATTCAGATCTGTTGTTGTTTTCGTCATCACCTTTCTATTAACCTAGTGGACTAGTCTATTTTATTGCAAGGGGTGACAAAATAAGTCATGCATGCCAACCACAGTCAACAGACCATAACGTGTTGGTTTAGCAGTGTTGGAGAATTGAGATGTTGGATATCTGTGATACACTTGTAGTTTTACTGTACTTCCTCAACAGGTTTCTACTTTCTAATTGTATTGATCTACAATCTAAATTAATAAATTATTAATTGTTCTCGTCACGATATGGCTGAAAAATTGCCGATGTGAGGATAAATATTTACTCATTCACTATTTCACACTCTCTCACACACACACACACACACACACACACACACACACACACACACACACACACACACACACACACACACACACACACACACACACACACACACACACACACACACACACACACACACACACCAGTGTGGCCTCGAGGAGTCGTCGTCCTGCGAATGAACCGGCGAAATGACACTCAACTGGTTGAATATTGGTAAAACGACATAAAATCATCCAATTCTTCTAAATGATAGGATGGCCGTGTTTGATAAATAAAGGCTTTCTAATTTAGTTTTACTTTCATTTTGGATAATTGAATTCTTCGCAAAAGAAAATGCAAACTAAAAAACCCCATTTTATTACATTCTAGCAAAAGTCTAAAAACATTATTCACTATTCATATAACACTTTTGACAATACGAAAGTTAAAATACAGTTGCTCTCAATATTCGACAAGGACTTTTTACACTGGACTGCTAGAAATGACCTCGTACATGGACAAGAAGTAACGGTCGGTTTCAAGCGCTGGTTTGTCAATATAACACCGTGTTGTTGTTGTCCGGGGAAATAGAGAACCAGACCTAGCATTTGTCGTCAGTATTTGTGTACCGACTGTCAAAACCTGGACGAACTGGTTCAACTCCTTAACTGACGACATCGGACACGTGATGGCGAGGAAAGTAGAGCGACGTCTATAGATTCGTTGGCCGGAGTCAATTAAACTTGACAGTGAACTTGACTTTGTTTATCACAAGACGCATCGAACTAAATCTAACGTATTTGAGAATGAAGAAGCAAATATTTTAAAGCGGTCTTCTTTCATGATGACTGGTTAATTAATCTTTTTTATTGTTTTGCGTTTCAGATGATGTTTGTTTTTAATTCAACTTGACCAATATAATGTCATATTTCCCTATGTCGCCTTTGGAATCACAGAAAGCTCAATGGTGAGTCAATTTCAGACGAAAACAAACTTGATTTCTTTCCATGTTTATGGCATATGCTGCGGTAGTTTCGTTTAAGATGAAATATTACAATTCATTAATGTAATGTGATTATATATTACCCTTAAACCGAGGAGCAAAATATACTGCTAATCGATTATAGGATATTATATTTTCATTTGAAAATATCTTAGGTAGCGATAAGATGTATGCAAAAGGAAGTGTACACTCAGTCTTTCCACATTGTTTTAATTCTTGAAATATGAAAGTTTCAAAAGTTGAAGAAAATAGACAACTGATGATAGTTATTTTTTACATCTTATGTTTGATCACAAACTATGCCATTACCGAGTACAATTTACATTTTAAACACAGTAGGGAGCATGTTGTTCATTCATTTCTTACTCCAGTCTTCATGGGTAAGTTACACACGCTTACACATCCACAGATTATTTTGTACTTTTGCAGGAACGAATTATGGTTTAATATAAATAATGAAATTTAACAATTCTTTCAATTTTCAGGCCATAAAACAAACTTTGTTTTGCCCCTCACATCACATAATACACTTCACATATTGATCTATATGGACCCGTGAAGATCCGGGTTAGAATTGATCTTCGGTAACCCATGCTTGCAGTAAGAGGTGACTAATGGGAACTGGTGGTCAGGCTCGCTGACTTAGTTCACACATGTCATCGTAACCCAGTTGATCGATGCTCATGCTGTTGATCACTGGATTGTGTGGTCCAGACTCGATTATTTACAGACCGCTGGAACATTGCTGAGTGTGGCGTAAAACTAAACTCACTCACTCACTTGATCTATATGAACCCGTCTTTCTTCGCATTCTTTGGCACACCTCGGGATAATCTTCCTGGATATAGAAATTTATAGTCTAAAGTCCTAATTTTATATAACAGTAAAGTTTTTAGAGCCCAATTAAGATAGTGAATTATTGTTAAATTTCATATTTCATGAATTCAACTACACAGATGATCATGTTATTGATTTATTAAAGATAATCATCCATCTAATATTTTGATTTCTACTTTATAGTCTAGTACGTTCCTGTTTATATGATAAGTTATGTCGCATATAAACAGAAAGCGCACAGCACACTGGGACTCACTCAGACGATGAAACAGATAATACTATATGAATGTTTCTGTTCTCGCAGACAGACATTTCAAAACACCTCGGGATAATCTTACGCACGAATCTCGAATATCGAAATTTATAGTCTTGAGCGTTCCTGTCTGTATGATAAGTTATGTCGCATATAAACAGAAACCACACAGCACACTGGGACTCACTCAGAAGTTGAAACAGATAATACTATATGAATGTTTTTCTTCTCGCAGACAGACATTTCAAAACACTTCGGGATAATCTTACGCACGAATCTCGGATAAGGCAATGGTCAGCTACACTAAAATGGGTAGGCTAACGTTAAGTCTCTCTCTGTGAATATATGTAAGTTTGAGAGTAACAAATCAACTCAGTTAAATTGAAAAGGAGCCCTAGTGAGATGGGAAATTAGGGCTTCATTTAGGGCTTTAGCATAGACTAACAACTAGTCTCTGAAATGAACATATTTTACTGAAAAAAAGTTCATAGTAATTTTTTTTATATATAATGAAAAGGAGCCCTGAGACTTTATTCATTTCAGAAGCTGAGGAAATCTAGACTTGCCACATTTTCTAGACTTGCGTGGGCTTTCTTGGATATATTTACTTCTGGGTCTGTACGACAAACTAGGCTTTAGCATTGCAGGGAGGGCTAGACAGTAGGAGAAATGATGTGGTTCAGGGACTGGGAGACTATACAATGGGTTGGGAGTTTGGGGATGTTGGGTAACTTAACTGTGTGTGTAAATAATAGTCCGAGACCCAAGAAGATCCGGTTAGTATTGGTCTTCAGCAACCCATGTTTGTCGAAGGGGCCCGTCGTGATACCCCTCCTGCAGGCTGTTTGTTCAGCTCACATCAGTTCAACAAAACTTGTCAAGTAAAGGAATATTAACCTTGTAGTGTTGAAGTTGTATAGTAAAGACCCCATCGATATCACAACACGACCAGAATGCAATTTTAAATATCAACGGTGTTTTAAAAATCGGGGCGGTGGGGGTAGCCTAGTGGTTAAAGCGGTGGCTCGTCACGCCGAAGACCCGGGTTCGAATCCCCACATGGGTACAATGTGTGAAGCCCATTTCTGGTGTCCCCCGACGTGATGTTGCTGTAATATTGCTAAAAGCGGCGTAAAACCAAACTCAGTCAGTTTTAAAAATCATACAAATAAAATATGATATGCATTTAAAAAATAGGTTGCAGCACACGAGAGGAAATGGACGGGCCTCCGATGAAGGCGCCATGATTCGTCGCCATGGACTTGCGACAGGATCCGATGTTCGTGCCACCCTTAGTGTTTCAGGTACATACGCTTAACTGTGGGTTTTATTAAAGGTACACATGCATGTTACCTGTGTCAGGTTAACTATTTTTACCTACTAACTATGTGACTGAAGTGCTATAAACGAAACGTGAAGATCCGGGTTAGAATCGTATTCCTAATTACATATTGTATGAGTTTTCTAAGAAACTAAAATATTCTTATTTATCTTATTTCATATACTGTTCAGGGTAACTACTTTACTTCTTCTCCTAAATATTAACAACAATTCCAATAAGGACTCTCTATGTATATTCAGACACTTCTGATAATCGCTGACATATCAAAGAATATACCACAAAGCTCCGGGTTATTAACGCATCTAAAACAAGCACAACAACAGCAGCAGGTGTGCCTGCAAAGTGCAAAGAAGGCTGTAACAGTTACCTCCCTTGAACGTTTGCTATTTCGTCTGCAATTGGTCGTGTCGGTTTGTTTTGTTTGCAGCTTAACAACATATTTAGTACAGTCATGTGTGTACGTTGTATATCAAGACGCTTCGAGTAGTATTTCGTTTGAATGAAATATTAATTCATATTGGAAGTAGTGTATGTATATATCTGGTACCACATGGAACATTTTAACACTTGCTGCCAGTTTCCTTTCCACTAAATCTAAAGACAAATGGTATCATAAAAGATTTAGTAATCTGCACTCACTAATTATATTATTATGTTATTTATACCGAATAAAACCAATTCTATATATTTTAGCAGTTAGTGTTGACGTTTAAGAAAAGTCTGAATCAAAATTTATAAAATTGTTTTTTGAAACGTTCGTAAAATAATTCAAACTACTCCACAATCTCCACACTCATGACCCGTTGTTCAAAACTATTTAACACGCTCCACGAGAAACGTAGCACCTGAACAAAGGTATATTGTCTATGCAGTGTTACATCAGAGAGGTAACTCGGCGGTTTTTCTCACTAGAGCCAGATTGCCTGATTCGATTATTTACAGACTGCCGCCTTATAGCTGGAATATTGCTGAGTGCTGCGTTAAACAACAAACAAACAAACAAACAAAAACCAAATACCGGCTGGACCACACATCGGCCTTATATACTCCAGGGTGATAGAAGGCCCTTTATTGAGGATGTGTACAAGAATTACCTTTTAGATTACCTGTTGACATAACAGCTGCATGATACAAAGTCACACATGTTCCAGTTCCAATCTTGATGATGACCGCCTCCGTGGTGTAGTGGTTAGAGCGTCCGCCCGGAGAGTGGAATGTCGCGGGTTCGATCCCCGACCGCGTCATACCAAAAGACGTTAAAATATGGTACTTGTTGGTCCCTGTCTGGTGCTCGGCATTAATGGGTACAAGAAGGACTGGTCGGCTCGGAGTCAGTATAATGTGTCTGAGTGGGGTATTCATGCTTCACTGCGGCATGGTATCTCAGTGGGCTAGCACTATAAAACCAGCTTTAGTCTGGGCTAGTACAAGCAGCCGCACATACACATACACGCGCATGCACGTCGTCATATGAGCGAAATGTTTTCAAGCACGACGTTAAACCCAATTTCACCTCACCTCACCTCCAATCTTGATGAGATGATACTTGGACCAATAAATTATGGGTTTCTTTCGCTATATACATCATCTGCAATTTAAGATCTCATGCAGCGTTCTTCAAAGGTCAACAGTGTGTTCATTCTGAAGACAACTGCCCCAAAGGTATTAGTGACGGTTGATATGTAGGTTATAAAAGGTCAAGAACACAAGCTATAATCCAAAGTCATTCTTAACACAAGTTTGTAAATTATAATAACCAGTGTCTTGAGTGAGTGAGTGAGTTAATATTTAACGCAGCCATATCGTGACGAGAACATATTTGACATTGAAATGGAATATGTGTATATTATAACAACCCGTCATCAAAGGACAGTAAAACAACTAGAATATCACAATTAGAATTAAAACTAGTGTGGAAAGTTAAAACTAATAGCACTATTAGGACAATACAAGATAAAAACAGGCTATAGATCGCCAACAACTGAAGGTAGATCACCATACCAGGGACCATGGTGGCTTACAGTACCTTTGCTACCTGCATGGACCCTAGATGGATTTACACCATCCCTTCAGCCGCTGGCGAATGTGATTAGTTTTAGCCATTATTCAGTGTCTTGAGAGTACAATGTACAGTTAACCAGTTTCAGTGGTAACGGGTGATGTCGTATTGAGATGTCAAGGTCACCCAAGAGGTCACAGCGAGCGAGCGAGTTTGGTTTTACGCCGCTTTTAGCAATATTCCAGCAACATCAAGGCGGAGAGGTCACAGTGGTATGCAAAGGGTTGTGATGCAATAGAAACGATATATCTAAGGATTTTTAAATTTCCTCGTAGTTCTGATAGAACAATCAATCAGGATAAACCTGTGGTGATGGTTTGTTGCTGGATCTGTTTCTTGTTCCTGTCCCTCTTGGCCTTTCTTGAGTCCGTCAGTGCCTCAGTCCAGGATTCCAGCTGCCTTTCGCAGTTCGGTCTTTTCTCTGCAGCAAGATGGCTCCTCCATTCAGGGGCGGCGGGGTAGCCTAGTGGTTAAGGCGTTCGCTCGTCACGCCGAAGACCCGGGTTCGATTCCCCACATGGGTACAATGTGTTAAGCCCATTTCTGGTGTCCCCTGCCGTGATATTGCTGGAATATTGCTAAAAGCCGCGTAAAACCAAACTCACTCACCCACCTCTCCTCCATTCACGTTCAAATGCTTAGGGCATCAACTATGCGCATCCCATTTTTGTGATTTTCTTTTGAATCTTTCCCATTTTATCTTTTGTCGTTTCTCCTGATTTACAGCTTAATGGAACGCTGTAGACACGAGAGAGAGGGGCTAGAGAGATAAACGTCTAGACGCAGGACTTTGCAACGTTCAATACTACACTGGTCTCAGCAACCCATGCTTGTCGTAAAGAGGCGACGAACGGGATCGGGTGGTCAGGCTTGCTGACTTGGTTGACACATATTATCGTATCCAGTTGCGTAGGTCGATGTTCATGTTGTTGATCACTGGATTGTCTGGTTCACACTCGAATATTCAACGTTCAATACTACACTGGTCTCAGCAACCCATGCTTGTCGTAAAGAGGCGACGAACGGGATCGGGTGGTCAGGCTTGCTGACTTGGTTGACACATATTATCGTATCCAATTGCGTAGGTCGATGTTCATGTTGTTGATCACTGGATTGTCTGGTTCACACTCGATTATTTACAGACCGTCATCATATAGCTGGAATATTGCTGAGTGCGACGTTAAACAACAAACAAACAAACACAGGAATCTGTCTTGGATCAAAGCCCCACTCTCCCCTTGAAGTCGTCATGGCAGCTTTGTGAGAAGTGTGTTCTGATCACGACCTGACAAGGTTGTTAATTTCAGCACTTTAAGAGTCTTTGCCCCCCACATCCTGAACAACAATCCACAGATGCAGATGGAGCGTATCAACATTTCTTGTGAATATGTACTTTACAGAGAAAGTGTAACCCCAAACAAAACATGTTACATTTGACCACTCTCTGAAAAACACTGATTCGCAGTATCAAGTTTGTGGATCACGAAGAGATGGAAAAATGTCCCTATAAATACTTCAGTAGTATATAATGATTACTGCACATGCAGCATGTGCATATCAATTGAGGCAGGTTTCATTGTGTAGAAAAATAAGCCTTCTTGACATTGTTTTTCCATTTGACCTGGTTACACATGATTCCATCCAGTTTCTGTCCCTGTGGTAGTGCTATGCGACGGATTTTGTTGAAGCGGCAGGATATTTATTGTAAATTACCACAACTGTATTATCACCTTGCAAATGGTGAATATGTACAAAGATATTTCTGTACAGCTATGAATGAATAAATGAATACCTATGAAAAAGCACCCCCCCAAAAAAACCCCCAAAACCCAAACAAACCCCCAAAATAACAAAAAAATAACACACAAAACCACAAAAACTTTCCTTGTGAAATGAATGATAATAGAAAAACTTAAATTCTTCAATGATTTGTTTCTCTCAAGGTATTCACATTGGGAATAAGGCGCGTCAATAACATAAATAAAGTCTTGGATTTTGTTTCATCTTTCTGCAACAGACATAATTGGAACGCATATTGTCATGTTGTGCTTTCTAAGTCTAACATTACCAATATCACCTTTTTGTTGGAACAAAGCACATCTGTCGCAATAGTGTATAATCAGTGAAATTCAGTCAAGATTTGGTAACATCGGATCTTGTCACAAATCCTTTATCAGACTGTGATGGGCAGACTGAATTGTATAACAACTCACTTCGCCAATTGCTGGACTGTCATGCACCTCAGAAGGAACGTACTTTTGTACAGCGTACAGGATGTCCCTGGTACAATGAACTTGTTCATGAAGCTAAACGTCAAAGACGTAAAGCAGAACGTAGGTGGCGAAAATCTCAACTTGAGATACATCGTCAAATGTATAAATATCAAAGAAATGCTTTTTGCAAGATCGTCCGAGAGCAGAAGCATTTGTACTGTAAACAGCAAATCACAGAGTGTGTAGGAAAGCCTAGAGATCTCCACAATTTCATGAAATCTATTACAGGCAAGACGAAAGAAGTTTTTCTTCCTCAATGTGATAATATTACACAACTTGCCAATGATTTCAATTCATTCTTTGAGAATAAAATCCTGGATATCCAGAAACTTCTCAGGGAGTATCAACAGCCAGACATGGTGTTCGAGGAAACCTTGTTTGATGGCGTTCCTCTGAGGGAGTTCGCACTTTGTACTCCACAGGATGTTCTGAGTCTCATCAAATCATCCAACAAAACCACTTGTCTGAATGATCCAATGCCAAGCAATCTTGTGGTTGATCATCTCGATCATTTACTTCCAGTTATAACCGACATTATTAATAAAAGTCTTTCATCCGGTGTTTTCCCTACATGTTTGAAAGATGCTATTATTACTCCACTGTTAAAGAATTCCAAACTTGATACCAACATACTCAAGAACTATCGGCCCGTTTCAAACTTGACTTTTCTCAAAACTTGTGGAGAAAGCTGTTACCAGACAACTGATGAAGCATATCAACCTCCATGACATCTTTGATGACTATCAGTCTGCTTATCGTCCGCAGCATTCAACAGAGACCTTGCTCCTTAGAGTTGTTAATGATCTCAGGTGTCTAGTGGATTCTGGTGACATGGCAACGCTGACTCTTTTAGATCTCAGTGCAGCGTTTGATACGGTTGATCATTACAAGCATCTGGATATTTTACAGCATCAAGTTGGTATCAGTGGAACAGTGCTCTCTTGGTTTGCATCTTATCTCCATGTCAGGCGGCAGTCTGTATATGTCTTGGGACAGTTTTCGGATAAGACAGTGCTCTCGTGTGGAGTCCCACAAGGTTCAGTGTTGGGACCTGTGTTGTTTCTCTTATACGTAAACTGTCTCAAAATCATAACTGACAAGTTTGGGACTCCTCATTTTTCATATGCAGATGATGTTCAACTGATGAAAAGATTTAACACTGAATCAATTTCTGACACCCTACAACAAATTGAAAACTGTACTTCTGAAATTAAGTCATGGATGACCGAAAGAAAACTTAAGTTAAATGACGACAAAACAGAGGTATTATTGGTCGGATAACAACAACAGATCATCGACAAGGTAGATGTTGAGCGAGTGATGATTGCTTCTGCCTGTATCTCCCCATCACGACAAGTTAAAGATCTTGGAGTACAGCTACAGTCGGACCTTGCCATGTCTGCACAAGTGGATCATCTGTGTAAGACATGCTACTTTCACACTCGTTCCATTGGTACCATCCGAAAATACATCACTAAAGAGAGTGCACATATCCTGGTCAGATGTCTTGTGTCTTCCCGCCTAGACTACTGCAATAGCCTTCTCAC